AACACCTGCTGTATATGGTTATGACTGGAGAGGAAAATATGGAATAATTCTTGCCCAGACAAGGTTAGCAGATTCTCACATATTTCTGTTGCTAACATGTATAAATGTAAAGTTTTGGGGATATACTTAAAAAACCGTGTGTAGGCCTGTTTTCACTGTTATTGTTAAGCTAAGCACTATGTATATGTTTAATAGAGAGAGAAATAAGTTCTTACAGTGATTCTCCTGTGGCATCAGGTTCTAGAACCCTTGTAGATTCTAATATATTTAAGAGTGTGCTTGTTGATATTGATATTATATTAATTATCTTCAGTGTTAGAATGTCATGAAGTTGGGCTAAATATAGATTTGTTGGGCTAAAAAAGAACAGATAAAGTCATAGTTTACGTCATTGGGAGTGTGAAGTTATGATGCATGTTCTGTTCATATTTTTAGTTAGACTTTTTTTTTTAAATGTATTTTTTATTCAGGAAGGATGCATTATATTGATCAAAAGCAACGTTAAAGACATTCATAATTTTACAAAAAGATTTCTATTTCAAATAAGTGTTCTTTTAAACTTTTGCATTTATCAAAGTATCCTTGGAAAACAAAGAATCACAGTTTCTGCAAAAATGTTAAACAGCACAACTGTTTTCAATATTGATAATAATAATAAATGTTTCTCGAGCAGCAAATCAGCATATTACAATGATTTCTGAAGGATCATGTAACACTGAAGACTGTTGAAAATTCAACTCATACAAATAAATTACATTTTCAAATACATTAAAATCGAAAACAGTTATTTTGAATTGTAATAATATTTCACAATATCACTGTTGTTACTTGTATCGTCTTGGTGAGCATATTAGTTAGAGAGTTTGAGACCTGAATGACCAGACATACAACAGCGATATCTAAAAGCATATGTATTTATTTCTGTCATACTCTGTAAATAATTAAAAAGAAAAACAGTGAATACAATAAGCATACTCTTTTCATTTGTACACCTATCATTTTTTTTGACATTCTAAATAAAAATACCAGAAAAGGTAAAGACTGCAACACTCTGAGTGCAAAAGAGACACACACACACACACACACACACATTTGGACACCATTGTGCTTATGTTACACTCAAATAGTGCAACAAATGCGTCCACTGATTAAACTAGAGAATATTTACACACTGCAAAAACCCAAAACTGCAAAGAGATTGTGTGTGAATGAAAGCATTTGTGTGTCAGCCACTATTTGAAGTTTCTTTTTTTAGAATTAAAAAGTTATCTTACGTATCGTTCTTTTGAATTATGATGTATACATACTGAATCATTTTCCTTTTTTTTCCTCCAACATCTAAGAAACTAAACATTTCATATATCAGAAGATCTCCTTTGTATGGGTAAAATATAAGTGCACTGGAAAATTACTGCAAACGACTCTGGAGGAATAATAATTGGCTCTTTCGCTGTAGGTGGTAAAAGAACAACCCTCCCGAAGCATTCTCAAAGTATGCCACGAAAACCCGTATTCTAGAACATTTCATATTTCACGACGTTTCACATCAGAATGCAGAACGTTTAGAATCAGAATGCATCAAAGAACATTTGCATCACAAGTGTTCTAGAACCTGTCTGGCTTCAATTCAGGTTCCATGAATGTGACTCTGGGAAATCACTGTGTTGAGTAATATACTATACGTCTGGTACTGAGATCTGTAATTGTTCTAAACTCGCAATACAAAGATCAAAATGGTTTCAGATTACCAGAAACCTGAATATTCCCATTTTGGATTTCCGTCTTTATAGGATATAGAAACTATAAAGTCAGATGGTTAGATTCACTATAACACCATGATTGATTCTGGTACTGAGATCTGTAATTGTTCTAAACTCGCAATACAAAGATCAAAATGGTTTCAGATTATCCCAGAAACCTGAATATTCCCATTTTGGATTTCCGTCTTTATAGGATATAGAAACTATAAAGTCAGATGGTTAGATTCACTATAACACCATGATTGAATTCTGGTTTGTTTGTCTGCATCCCAATTTGTATACTGTGCATTGTATATCTTTGGCAAGAAGAGAACATTTGCACATCCCAAATTATATTCCATCGAATATAGAAAGCATAATTGGATGATATAATTTTCCTGTGGATTTTCAAAATACACATCCATGCATGTTTTTTTCTTCTTCTGATATTACCACAATCCCTTGCATGTCTAACGTTTTGCTGAACACTATCACACTATTCTTACACTTGCGGCCTTTTAATTTTAAGGTTTTAAATTATGAATTTAGCTAAACATTAAAAGAAAAGTTATAAAGCAATAGTGGATAATGCAATAATATGGATAGAGGACTGTAAGCAAGGGTTTAAAGTTCAAAACATCTTATAGATGGATTTGTTTCTTTATGCAGCTTTTCTCATCACAAGATATTAATTGATATACTGGAGTCATGTGGATTATTGTGATTTCTCCAAATCTGTTCTGATGAAGAAACAAACTCATCTACATCTTGGAGAGCCTGAGGGTGAGTAAATATTCATTTTTGGGTGAACTTTTCTTGTAATGTTACTGTAATACACAATGTGTTAATGAAATGAAAAGTATGTATTTTCTCTTCTCCAGTCAAGTACATTTTTGTAGCACAGTTTTAAGTATGCAAACTGGAATGCAGTACATATGAAGAACACTATACTTTTACTGCCACCTACTGGTATATTGTCGTACTGCATCTGGGGGGGGGGACTGGTTTTGGTCTGTAACCTTTCCCCCCTACTACTACATTGTTGTGTATTTTCATTGTAATGACTAGTTATGTTAGTAGGATTATTTACCTTCATTTTATTGTAAAACTTTATGACATCATTCTACTGATCTTTAAGCCCCTCCCTAAAGTCTTTTTTTAAGTCACAGTGAACCCAGGTCTCCAAGGCAATGCTTTTTACTTGGATGCCAGCTTTGTACATGTGTATGTGAGCGTGTGCTGATAACATTTTTGAAAAGTGCTTGTATTTGATGCGCATGTGTACATGGTTTACATTGAAGAGTGTCTCTGTGTTGGTTTAATGTGTATTAAGTAGGTTAGGATGTGTGATTGTGCGATGGGGATGGCAGTGAGGGGAGGGGCTTCAAACAACCGGCCCCTTCTTTAGGGGTGTGGCTTGATCACACCTGAGCAAACATTAATCAGAACTTCAGCATGACATCACAGTCCCGCCCACAGCAGTGCAAAGAACTACAGAGCACAGTGTCTCCATGGCTACCACTAGAGCTAAAACAGAGATTGTGTTGCCATTTTTAATTGGCAGATAACTATCTGCATTGGTCCCTTCAATTACTGACGGCAAAGCCAGCCGATTGCTAAATGACAACAACACCATTGCTCATTGGCTATTCCACATCACCATCATTTAGTGATAAATGAACACTTAAAAGGGCACTGCAAATCCTGTCTTTCTCTCAAACAATTCACATTCTGTTTTCTAGACCCTCGGGTGATTAAAGGGATAATTCAGCTAAAAATGTCAATTCTGTCATCATTCTCATTTTTTAAAATTCCAAACATGTATGAATTTCTTTCATCTGTGGAACACATTTTTTAATAACTGCTTCAACTTTTTTTGTTTGTGCAGTGAACGTCTGAGGTCCAAAACAACATTAGATCTCAATGACTTTCATTGTGTAGACAAAAGAAAGAAAGTCATACAGGTTTGGAATGACATGAGGTTCAGTAAATTGACAGAATTCTATTTTTTGGGTGAATCTCTTTTAGGCCCAAGACATACTCTATGCCAGTACATGAACGCAATCCTTGGTTTCTCACATTTTTGGGATATGAAATGCATCACAATTCGTAATGAAAGAAGACATTGGATTCTAAGCAGTCTTCCTCTGTGGTCAGTTTTCTCTTTCAGACTTTTCTCTTTTTAATGAAATAGGTTGTTAAAATGTTTAGCAAGCTACATGAATAATAAAACCTCATTTAATGACAGACATTTGAAAATAACACTATAGTGTTGCAGGGATTATGCGTTTTTGTTGGCCAACACAGATGTTCCCATCACCTTGGTTCCATTAACAAAAAGCCAAGAGGATTTTTTTCTATTGACTTTTTGGATAACGGTATAAAACAAGTGGCCTACAAAAATACCCTAAATACAAATGTCATAAGAAAAAAAGCTTCCGAAAATGTTTTCAATCTTGATTTACAATCTACAAGTAGGAAAGTTTGAGTTAGTTAAAGTTAGCAAGAGTGCAAGTATAAACACAACAAGGCTGTAGAAGCAGACTTAGTAGATGTTTCGAGTAGATGTTTTCCTGTTAGCACCTTGTAAGTAACTGACAAATAAAATAATAAAAAAGTGGGGAATTACTGTATTTTATGTTGTAGAATAAAACATGAAAATATCTTGAGCTTGTTAACCACAATCCTTATTTCAGGCATTTAACTAAAAAAAACAAAAAAACATTGACTTTGAGACAATGGAACTGGAAATTCAAAAAGGCAACTTATTTCTAGGTTTAGGACTCATTCCTGCAGCACTATGTTGCATACTGTTTGAATACTGAGATTTGTTACTGCCACACTTTCTGTCATCATTTACTCTCCAAATAGTTGACACGGTAGCCATTGACTTCCATAGTATTATTTTTCCATGCTATGGAAGTCAGTTTCTACCAACTGAGTGCCAACTGTTACCAACATTCTTCAAATTATCTTCTTCTGTGTCCAACAGAAGAAAGAAACTCATACCGGTTTGTAACAACTTGGGGTTGAGTAAATGATGACAGAATTTGTATTTTTGGGTGAACCATCCCTTTAAGAAACCAAGTGCTTCCAAAGCATTCCAAAGCCATGCATCTGTCTGTGTACTTGCATTTAGTTTGTTTCGTGCCCCAAATTGTTTCATCTGATTCCAGACAGACACAAAGAAAGGCATTTACTCTCCTGCCATGTTAAAACCGTGCTTGGCTTGCTATTGGGCAAACTCTTATAATAACTAGTTCACATAAAGTGAAGTGTGCTTGAATGCACCAGCATGACTCTTTGATTGCGTGGTAAAGCTATGGATGTAGCCTTGATGCACAAGCTGGGCAGGATGGGCATGCTGTCCTGCTTGCACAAGGCTTTGTCTGAAGGTCTCTGTCTGGCTTTTATCTCCTTGCACAGATGACGTTTCTTCTCGATCATCTCCATCATGGTGCTGTCCCCACATGCCCAGGGCATTGGGGGCATCTAATGGGTGGCAAGGGTGAGATAATGTTGGTGCATGCAGAGCTGTCTTTAATTTTGTAGCCCTTATATTTTTAAGGGTGATGGCGTTCACAGTGTTCTTTAATAATAAAGGATGCGTTTAATAATTCATGTCCTCTAATAGCAGTCAGAGCAGTCAGAATGTATTGCTGTTCAGTTTAATGATCTCTCACGCACACACACACGCACACATACACACACACACACACATACACACACACACACACAGTATCTTAATTGTGTACACACATATTAAACTGCTCATGCACCTGTACAAACACAAAATAAAACACTTCTATAAGCAACACAAAATCTCATGAGCAACTATAGTTCTGTTTTAATGCCTTCTAAGAGAGCATTCTAACTGTCATGTAAATAATAAGTGAGTGATTTGGAAACACTCTATATGGGCAGCAAAACTATTGGAAAGAACTTATACTCAGGGTTATTTTAGTTAAATAAAACTATATATATAT